GAGGAGCAATAAAGCCCACATGGAAGAAGCACACCAGCCTGTGTGATTATCAGGTGTCGATGGGATTAGGTATCAGGCATCAAAGACCCAGAACAAAAAATCATATCAATGTGAATGAAGGGGGCATGGAGTGGAGACCCAAAGCCCATCTGTACACAATTGGACATCGCCTTACAGAAGGGTCACAAGAAAGAGATGAGCCAGTCAGAGTGCAGTATAGTACCAATGAAACATACAACTTTCCTCTAGTTCTTTAATGCTTCCTCCCTCCTCTACTATCATGACCCCAATTCTACCTTACAAATCTGGCTAGACCAGAGCATGTACACTGGTACAGATAGGAAACTGTGTTTCCCTGGAAACACAGGGAATCCAGGATGGATACACTCCTCAGGGCCAATAATGAGCGATACCAGGAGGATGAGAAGGTAGGGGGGGAGAAAGGGGGAACCAATCACAATGATCTACATATAACCCCCTCCCAGGGGGATGAAAAACAGAAAAGTAGGTAAAAGAAGACAGTGGTCGGTGTAAGATATGAAAAAAAAAAATTAGAAAGTATCAAGGATTCATGAGGGAGGGAGGGGGGGAGGGAGGGGGAAATGAAGTGATACCAAGAGCTCAAGTAGAAAGACAATGTTTTGAAAATGATGATAGCAACATATGTACAAATGTGCTTGACACAATGGATGAATTGTGGTAAGAGCTGTAACAGCCCCCAATGAAATGATTTTTAAAAAAAACTGTCCCAGCAGGGATCATGTCAACTCACCTCTGAATTTTAGTGCCTGTGCAACGGTTAGCACTCACTAATAGCAAGGTTGATGACTCAAACCTAGTGGTGGTTCTGCAGGGAAAGATGTGGTACTCTTCATTCATGACTTACAACCTGGAAACCCTCCTGGGCAGTTCTGCTGCACAGGCTTGCTGAGTTGAAATCTACTCCGTGGCAGTGAGTTTGTTATTGGTGTCGTTAGCAGTCCTTTACACTTTGTACCTCCTTACATATATGAGGGGCTTCAAAAAGTTTTTGTAATACGGCTTTCTGAAACCCTTTTGTACATTTGTTGAAAGAACTAGAGTTCTTAAAAAATAAGTATGTAGTCATCCTTATCTGTTACCTTTTTGATGGATTACCTATTTTAGAAATGCCTAATGTACTAGCTGCTAATAGCAATGGACTGTAGGACGTGGGTGAGACTGAAGACAACTCGACTGGTTACCGATGGAGTGGGGAGGCATTTTGGAGGAGCTGTGGCAGACCAACAGGCAGACCAAAAATATTTCATTTCCTCGTCCTTTAACTCACTTACTAGTATTGAAAAAACCACTGAAACATCCCAAGTTTTTCTTTCATAGTTCCTATATTCTTAACAGCAAGAATACATGCTAATATAACCTGCTTCTTTTCTTCTTTATTTCACTGAACATTCTTCTTTGTATATTGTTCCTTCTACTGGTGAAAGAAATATAGCTAGCTTCATTCTACTCATAATCAAAGAATAGTTTCATCAGACCCAATAGTACCTTTTAGTAATAGGTTCAAAGACAGCCTTCTTTTTTAAATTAATAAATAAATCACCACTCATATTGTTTACCTGGAAATAATTATGGATGGGATTATCTTTCTATGTTCATAATGAAGAGTACGATTTGCAGATCTTTCCCCACCTCCCCCCACTGCAGAAAACAAGAATCCTGCCTGCAGCAATCCTGGAGGTACCCTCCCACCAAAAGTGGCTTTAGAATTTTTTCCCACAATACCATTGCGTGGATTGAATTCGTATTGCAAAATATGTATCTAAATTCTAACAGCTGTAAAAGTCATCTTGTATGGAAATAAGGATTTTCTTGTGTTAATTAGACCATCTCATGCTAGGGTGGGGCCCTAAATAGACGGATACAGGGAGAAGACAAAAAGCACATGAGGTCTGTCTATAAGGTGAAGAGCTTCAAGCACGGCTGGGAATCGTCAGAAAGGAGGAGAGGCTCATAGGAGGAAGTGACAAGGCCAAGATCCGACTGGGATTCCCAGCCGATTCTCCAGTCTGGTGAGAACACATTTTGGTTATTGGACGCCACCCAATATGGCAGCACTAGTGACCTTTCTTCCATTAAAGCAGTGAACTCTCCTCCCATAATTTTCACATTTCCAGTCAAAATGCTTATTGTTGAAATGTTATTTTACTTATTAAAATCTGACTTTAAAAAATTTTTATACTTTATAACAACTTTGTATCTACAAATTTTAATACTAAATATCTGATTCCAGAACTTGTCACCTCCAATGTTTAGTTTTACTCTTTTCAAACAGAAGAGTAATGTTTTTTT